CAGGAGCTTAAAACGGCACGATGTTTAGCGTTTGTAAATAGTCCCACATCGGTTACATGGGAAATTGTTCATTGTGGAAACAGAGTATAAATAGAGAAGTCGAGGGAACGAACAAACCACTTACCTGGACGGGGTCAACTCGTGATCAAGAAGACGAGTGGCCTAGGTTAGTGACTTCCATTGCACCTATCGGAAGGGTGCTATGCCTAAGGTCTTCCCAAGTGGAAGAGCCTGCGTCATTATTTGTGGCAGAGGGGGTTTGCGTTCGCGCAGCCCCCACCATAACCAGTCTCAACCGTATCTTAGTTTTTTTGCTTTGTTTGACTAATTGTGCTAGTAATGTGTAAGAAGACACATAATAGGATTCGAAATAAGATGTATGATGACGCTAGGGGGTTTTTGATCTCGGTGAGTCTCTTGCCCAAAACATCCATTAATAAACAGTTCAAGAGTTTCACAATTTGCTTTCATGGAAGACCTCTCACTGTTACATACATAGATTCACCCGACAAGAGGAAGAAGAAAACAAAAAAGCTAGAGGAGAAGACGTCTTGTTATTAAAAAGCCCATATTACAAGGCCCAATTGGGGGTTCGCGAGCAAAAGATTGTAATGATGTGTATGTCTACTAGAATCCCACATCGGAACATCATGACTAGTTAATAGGTTCTGCATGGATATAAAACTAACAGGATTTCATTCATTTCATCTTTATCTTTGCGCTTGGGGCAATGACGCAGCTAATGAGTTACTAACCGAGGCGCGTCTATTGCTGGTTGAAAACTATTTCCATACCCCCTCATCGGCGTCAAGCTTGTCTTGGCCCTTTGAGAATTTCTGGAAAGGTTCCCTTCGGGGTAAAGCCCTGCAATTTCTAGTTCCAAGTTTTGGGTTTTCAACCATTTAAAGTTTGCAATTATACTATTCAAATAGAAGAAAACGTTTCTACAATTACTTTAATTTCAAGTAGAGCAGAGTTTTAATCAGAAACTTAATCGCTAATCAAACGTCGTATTTTCCG